TCCCAAACGTCTTCCATTTAAGGATTATGGAGGCCACTGTGCTCTTAGGAACCTTAAGTGCAGCAGAATTTTTTTTTGTAACCTTGGCCAGATCTGTGCCTTGCCACAATTCTGTCTGTGAGCTCTTCAGGCAGTTCCTTTGACCTCATGATTCTCATTTGCTCTGACATGCAGTGTGAGCTGTAGGGTCTTATATAGACAGGTGTGTGGCTTTTCTAATCACGTCCAATCAGTATAATCAAACACAGCTGGACTCAAATGAAGGTGTAGAACCATCTCAGGGATGATCAGAAGAAATGGACAGCACCTAAGTTAAATATATGAGTGTCACAGCAAAGGGTCTGAATACTTATGACCATGTGATATTTCAGTTTTTCTTTTTAATAAACCTGGGCATAGTTAGATTCAGTGTACATGTAAATGAGCATACCCTGAAATATAAAGCAAAGTAAAAAGGCAAACAAAATTACAATTATTGTAGCGACTAAAACCACACTGGGGTCTCAGGTTACCTGTAATTATAGGCTTTGCCAAGTTAGTGTTTAAATTGAGCATAGTCTTCTTTCACTTCTACGTAATCCATCCATCCATTATCTATGCCGCTTATTCCTGAATAGGGTCGCATGGGGGCTGGAGCCTATCCCAGCTGACACTGGGCAGGGTGAGATGTGGGGTACACCCTGGACAGGTCACCAGTCTATCACAGCGCTGACATGTAGACGAACAACCACTCACACACACTCACTCCAGCCTAATCTGCATGTCTTTGGACTGTGGAAAGAAGCTGGAGTGCCCAGAGAAAACAGGCACAGAGAGAAAATGCAAACTCCACATGCATACTCTGGCATGGGCTGGGCTTGAGCCTGGAACCTTCTTGCTGTGCCGCCCACTTCTGTGTAATAAGCCCTGTATTTCCCTGGTGTTTTTTGTATCACTCAGTGTACTTGTCCACTATATATTAGCACTGTTGAACTTTCACGAACTGCTAGCATGTACAATTACATCAATGTAAACTTGTAATATACCTCTATCAATAGATTGATTTTTTTTTTTTATGTCTGTTTTTTTTTTTTAACCAGTTGTAACACTAATCCAGGTACAATGTATAGCAGAGTTTTAGAGGTTTTGCTCAGTCCTTTATTAATATCATGGGTCTTCCTGTCAAACTCTCAACCACACTCTTGCAAGTTGGTGGTTGTAAACACAATATACTAATAGGTAAATGTGAAAGTTACATCATTAAGCCTCCTTCAACCGTCTCAGTTGGCAGTGACCCTGTACTTCTTCATTAGCTCTGTCAGCTTCAGCCAGGCAAGCACAGAGCACTGTTTTGTGTGTGTATGTGTGTATTAATTAATCAAATTAATCATTCCTCTCTTCCTTCAGAACCTTAAAGTAAAAGGTCCCAAAGACTCGAAAGACTGTCTCACAACTGTGTCATTGGAGGGTAAGTGTGTGTGTGATTGTCTGTGTGTGGACATGCTTCTGTTTCTCTGTGTATGTACACCTGTCTAGGCTGACTTGGCGCTTTAAGACTCCAGTCCTGCCCCTTCATACTTGTCTATGCAGTGGTAGGCTTTGAGACACAAAGTGGTGTGTGTCAGAGCACACATACACACACGCTCTCTCACTTTCCTTCTCTTACTCTCTCTCTCTCTCTCTCTCTTTCTCTTTGTCCAACTCTGCCTGAGAAAAGAGGCAGTGAGCTGGAGAGCAGAGTGAGGAGAGGGATATGGAGGTGCTTCTGATCCTCAGACTGTGTTGTAACTGCACATACGGTAACGACTGCATGATATTAGGTGCCGCCATTTGATTTAGGCAACTTGGACTATTGTTTTTCTTTTTTCCTTTCATTTTTCTGTGAGCCAAGAGTTCTGCGTGTTTAATACAGTGGAAGATTTGCTGTCAGATTTAAGCTGTCAGATGTTGATTAGGGATACTGGCATATCTGATTGATGATTGATACTCATAACGTACAAGTCTGTTTGAAAATGATTTCTGACCCTAGAAGGAATTAGCCTTTTTCTGTATGTTGATGTGCTGTAGTCCATGTAATCAGAGTGATTCAAATTTCTTTTATGTGGATGCTAAGAGATGCTGCTCTGGAATATTCTGTCCACCTGGGCTGACAGATTTCATAAAGAATGCACAGCAGGACAGCATCATCTGTCTGTGCGGGGCTATTTAAAAGCGAGCCACGTTTAGTCTGTATAAGGACTGTTAGCCTCAGGCAGGCTGCTCCTCATAGAGAATACTTGACACCAGAGGATTGGAACAACTTTGTTGCTCAGCTACCATCTTGCAAACTTAAGCAGTTTCACGGATTTGCTCCACTAAACCAGGGTATAGACTTTGTACTGCAAGGAAAACGGCTGACTGAGTTTTGCTTATTCAGTGATAAGCAAACATGATCAAATGATGTGGATTTGTCTCGCTGATAGACAGAGGGTGAGTGTTCATATGCGTGTCAATCATCAGCAGCATGTATCTGTGAAGTGTCTGTTAATTTATGCATCGTAAATGAGTAAAACTGCAAACATCCTGGTTGTTTTAAGTCCTTTCCTTTTTCATCTCTGTGCCTCAGCCTACATCGGATTGTTCTAGACGCCTGATTCCTTTCCTTTAGCATAAGTTATCGTGGTAGTTAAGTGGCATGAGACTAGTTTCATATTCCCTCCACAATCATTGTTTCTCAGCACCGTGAGCATTAGCTTTGATTACTAGTTGTATTGCAGTTCCTTAATTGCCTGGCAAATCAGTCAAGGGATTTCTTTACCTCAGCTCTATAACTATCACTCCTTTCTAGTCCCCCCTCTTTTATTATGCTTTCTACTTTTTTTACACACACCTTTGCTCCCTATACTCATCCTTTCATCCTTCTTGCTTTTGAACTGATTTAACTGGACCCCAGCCAAATACACTGTGTGCTTCTGTGTATTTTCTTCATTGAAATAAGTCAAGGATGTTCACATATAATAAAGCCTGCTGTTTGTCTTCCTGACACTTTATAATGACTTTATAATGACAAATCGTAACACAAGTACTAAATCAAACAAGCATTTGACATCCTACGTTGTACATCCTTAATCTTTATATGCCCTCTTTCTTTATTTTCACTCCTGTTGGTCACATCCTGTCCTCCACTGCTCACTCCTAAAGCATGGAGCCAGAAACCATTGTATTGGTATTGCAGAAATATTTTTATATTCGCATTTTGACTCTAATCCTTATCCTGTCTGTTTTTGTAATAATGACATGAGTATTCTGATTATTCATATCTCTGCATTTATAACTAGCATTGTGTATGGAAGGAAAAAACATTAGGTAATGGAAAAAATGGGAAGAGGGAAAGAAAAAAGCAAGGTTTCTGATGACTGAGCTGTCTGTAGGTCAGAGCAGTTAAGATAGCAGGTCTCTGTTTCTGTTGGTTTAGATTTGTCTCAATGACTGTTAGATTGATTGTTATGAAAGTTTGGACAGATGGTTGTCAGAAGATGAATTTAGTTTAGTGTGGTTATCACTTTTCCATATGGCACCAACATCAAATCAGAGTTTGTGAACAAAGTTTATGTGAACACATACCTGCAAAACTAATGATATTTACACCAGCCTAAGCTGTATTTTGTGTTTAATGCTAATTAGCAAATGCTAGAATGCTAAACTGAGATGGTGAACCTGCCACTGTTGTAATTATGAGAATGTTGACATGCTGTTGTTAACACTTAGCTCAAAATTCGGCCTCATGGAGCTGCTAGCGTGGTGGAAAACTCTTGTTTCCAAGTAGAACTAAGGAGTCATTGCAGCAGTTTTTTTGGCACTCTTGTCATTCTGCAGCTCACTGTGCATCTTCTGTGAATCTGTTTGCTTCCATAGTTCTACTGTTATGAAGAGCACAATGTGTCTTCCATGCAGTGAAGAGCTTCTGTGAAAGGAGTGAAAACTATGGCTGTGAGGACAAGTTAGAATTTTTTTAGACCAGTTCAGCAGCCTCCCCGCTCCAAATGTGTTATCACCAGTATAGCTGCTGAATGTTTCTCTTCATAGAGGCTAATGCACAGCCTTTTGTGTTTTCAACCAGTTTAACAAAGATTTAAAACAACATGAAATCTTTTGAAAATCATTAATGAAATTAAAAAATTTTAATCTACAGTACGTCGACCTCATCATCAGTGAGCCTTGAGCGTCCATTACCCTGTCACTGTTTCACTGTTTGCCCTTAGACCACTGCAGACCAGGAACACCCAACAAGGCCTGCAGTCTGGGAGGTGTTCTGACCCAGTCAGCCGTTCACAGTTTGGCCCTTGTCAAAGTCACTCAGATCCTTATGTTTTTCCTGCTTCCAATACATCAACTGAACATTCACTTGCTGCCCAATATACCCCACACACTGACAGGTGCCATTGTAAAGATACAGTATGATCAATGTGATTCACTTCACCTGTCAGTGCCCATAATGTTTTGACTAACTTACTCAAAACTGAAATACTTACATGTACCATGATACCATTTGGTACTTACCAAGGTAGCCTAAGTCAGACTTCCCCAAACCTACATGCATGCATAATTAGATGTGTTCACAGCCTCTGCAGTCAGTGGAGGTCTTGTAGCAGATCCTCCAGGATGTAGTTCACTGAGTCAGGACTGGTGATGGAGGCTGCATTACAACTGCATCAGCAGTGCCCTCTAGAAGATTCTCTTTGGTCCCAAAGAGTAGCTGACTGTATATCTATGAGTGTAAAGTTTAATATGACATGCTCTATCAGCACATCTGCACATTCTCTGTAGGTCTCAGCTTTCACTCTTGATGCATGAGGTGAGAAGAAAGGAGAATGAGCACTACAGAGTGAGGTTGCAAGGAGAATAAAGACAAGAGATATATGTCTGTATTACTGAACAGTCAAAGGGAGCAATGCTCAGTTTAAACAGTTAAGCATAATGTTCAGAGAAGGGTAGCTGTCTCTATCTGGGAGCAGAGCACTGAGAGTCTGGGATGACCTGCCCTGCATGCAGACGGCACACTACTTCTCTCTGTTTCAGCTGGTCAGTTTTTCTTCCTTTCAATTTAAATATCAGTTGCAATTTTCACTTTAATAAAAAGAAATTGCTTGATTGCACATATTAGCAGCTTTACCAGTTTTTATGCCCTTGTGCATTGTGTTTGTTTTTATTGCATACCTTTTTTGCACACATATGCAGGGCAATACTTTTATATAGTTTTTTTTACAGTGCTTTGTGACACCAGTGGCATTATTACTTTGAGACCTTGAGACCTTTTTGGCATTTCGTTACACAACTGCTCGACCCAGTTCCTCTCCTCTCCTCTCCTCTCCTCTCCTCTCCTCTCCTCCTCTTCCCTTCCCTTCTCTGTGTCTTTGCTTCTTATTTGTCTCTCTCCAGGGGTTTTCACATCTGCCAACTTGCCTGCTGCCTGTCTCCCTCTGTCATTTTTTTTCACATCTTCTCTCAATCTTTCCCTCTGTCCTGTCTGTGGGAGTTTCTCACCTAGAGTTGCCATGCATGTCAGACCTGCTGTTCACACTACCTCAGCAGCAAAGCCAGCCAAGTGCGGTGGTGCAGATTTAAACTGTGACTTTGAGACAGGAATGGTGGCATGTGAACACGTGTCTGTCTTAATGCACTTCTTTTAAATTAATTCAGCCATCTTTGCTGTTTTTGTTGGTACACTACATGTGGTTTAGAGAGACTCTTAAAAGTCCTGTGTCCAGGCAGGCTGTTACTTAGCAGCAGCCTAAACGTGTGGTGGAAGGAAACTGTGTAGAGAACAATAGGAGGCTGCAGCAATAACCCCAGAGAAAGACAGCATATTAGCCCTTCCACCTTCCTTGGGCAAAAATGTCCATTTTTGTCTTTTTTATAATTTGGCGATCTATTTGATCACTGTTACAGCTTGTGGCATGAAATTTGGCAAGAAAGTTTCTTTTTAGTAATATTTTTGAAATCCAGTGTCATTTATACTCCTTTTATGCATTTTGTATGCTCCTAACACCCTTGTGGCCAAAAATGTACATGCACAAAAATTAACAAATCACCACACATCAATATTTTGTTTTTGCTTTTTTCATAAATGTCTTTTAAGACTTTTACTTCAGGATTTTATTACCCTTTAAATTAACTAACTAGCTTCCGGTGCCGACAGCGATGGCGGCTGTGGTTACTCGCGCTCTCATGTGTTTGTTGTTTTCTTTGTTTTCTTGGTCTTTTGTAACTCATCCCGGATTACGTTTACCAGAGAACAACTGTTAAATATCAGACAACTCACACCAAACTACCTTCCTCCGATTTTTGTGAACGAAGAATGCTGTATGGACATTCTGATTGGAGATGCAGCAGCGATATACGGGGCCTGAAAAAAATGTCGGTGACGCAGAAAACGTGCTGGCCCCTTGGTGAGGTCGTAGTTTGATTCATTTCTTAGCCTTAAATCACAAGTTTGTCTTAATCCTAAAATTAATACACCCCATCCACTTCATTCATCTCACTACAAAGGTCTTGCTCTCCAGGTCTGCTGTAAAAACGTCAGAATTATTAAAAAAACAAAAACGTTAATAAGTAAAAGGTGCCTGAAACAACTATTGAAGAGAATCATATTTCTGTGTCAAGTCATCAGAAAGCAGGCAAGTACAGGGGCAGGAACGGCATAAGTAACTGGCAGAATTGGAGTCCCCAGCATGTAGAACACAGAGTAATCTGACCATCTAACATAGTGCTCTTGGAAATAACAGGTTTAAATAGTGTAAGAGCTGACAAGGAATCTGGAACAGGTGTGTGAGTGGGTGGGGAAAGTCATGTGACAGGTAATAGAGGGCACCTCAGAAGGTATCTGGTGGCTGCATGGAGATTGGCAGAAGACAATGACCAAAATAAAAAGGGCTTTCCAAAAGCAGAAGCTGGTATTACTAATGCAAAATGCTACATTGAAAGACATCAATGTGTTATCAAGGTATAATGTTCTGATCATTTCAACAGGTATCATTAGCTGTAATAAGGAAAGTGTGCAATGTTTGGATTGAACTCTGTTGATCAAAAATGTTACATTTACTAAAGCAACATCATCAGGGCTCATTTTTCCATTACAATCACACTGTTCTGTGTATGAAAATCTGATTCAGTGACATACACACACACAGAGAGATGAAGCATGGTTATGGTATGCACACATTTTATAGATATGGAAGAAGACTCAAGCAGCTTCGTCGCGCCAAAGAGGAGGCCAGGCAAGGAACACACTGACAAGGGAGATCAGAGCAGCAAAGAGGAGCTATTCTGAAAAGCTGAAAGCTCAGGTTTCAGCCAACGACTCCTCGTCGGTGTGGGGGAGCCTGAAAACCATCACTGGCTATAGAAAACCATCCCCCTCTGCTGTGGAGGACTCTCAGCTAGCAGACAACCTGAATGTGTTATACTGCAGGTTTGACAATCAACACTCCCCCCTCAC